TATTTCTTTTGGTCTTGGTCACCACCCATTATAGATTTCACTTTCCATTTTCGACTTTTAATTTCTAGGTTTAAAAAAGTTCAATGTCTTAGCATTTAAATGATTTACGCGAATTATATGAATGAACTCTTGGCAAAAATTACAAATAAATGAAGTAATAAATGTTCATTATGTTAAAAGAATTTTTCCATAAATGGTAATTAGATCTTGCTTGCTTGTATATTCCCTTATGCCTAAATTGGTGCTACGTGATCACAAGGTAACTGAACACGTGTGCATTTCTGCCTAGATAATGTATTTTAACATAATTGTTCAATGATTAGGGAAAAAAATTGAAATCCAATTGATCAGCCTAGTCAAGATGATAGTACAGGAGTAATGAAACGGGAGGAAGTAGGTTCATGAATAACATTCGACCACGAAAAGGCAACATCAATTCAAATTGCAACGCATGAGAAATAAATTATGGGATTAGTGAAAAAGTTCTCTTACAATTGTCATCTTATATATATAGACGATCGTGACTGACTGACGCTAATTCTAACCATGTAATAGAAGGGTTAGAAATCTCAAAATTGGTACACATGTACCTTTTGTGATGCAGAGTTCAGAAAAAATCCGACTTTGGAGGTAAATGCCCTGGGGGTACAAATTTTGGGGGGAAACGTTTTTCTTAATTATATATTGTGACAGATGAGGATGGTATTAAGAGAATCGACTGGTTGTGATGGATTCAGTGGTGTAGTAGTAGCGTATCTAGCTGGCAATCAGAAGGTCCGTGTTCAATTCCTTGGCTTTCTTTTAGCTTTTTTTGCCTTCCATGCCCCGTTACTCATACCCCCTCGATAACATTATTTTTGCTTGAGTAAAACGGAGAGACATGGAAAGCTGAAGCTTTGCATCAATGTGGCTTCTGAGACAAGGAGTTCAAGAAAATGTTAAGTCTCGATAAATCCCCTAGGGGGAAATTTTTCGAGGTGCAATGTTTTGAAAGAAAAATGTCGTGGTGAATTGGACAGAAATGGAAAGGTGAAACTTGGCACACGTATAAGTGACATGATATTACTGAGCTGAGGGAGTATTCAGCTTTCATGGTGCATCCCCTCCGGGCATAGCATTAGGGTGGGTCGTCTTTTCCAAACATGTTTTTTCACAAACGAAAAGAGCAAACGTATAATATTGAAACTTTGTGGGCATGTAGTTCATTGAGGAAGGATTTCGGTAACAAAAAAAATGGTACGTTAAAACGGCACAGGGAACATATGTTGCAAGAGGCTTATTTTCACGAATTTTCTCATCCAGCAAAACAGAGGGCGCATGAAAGTTAAAAAACCTGGCAAATAAGTACCTGATGGATACCTGCATAAAGAAAAAATCATACTTTTCTAATATATATACTGTATACATATATATAGACGATTGTGACTGACAAACTGATGCTAATTCAAAATGGGTAAACGTATGAAACGTATAAGGCTGAAACTAGGTGGCATGGAATTCCCTGAGTCTTCGTTTCAGAAGAAAAATTTTTTTCGCTAAAACCCATCAGGGCTTTTTTTTTTATAGGTCCCACTTTCCTGAGTTTTTTTGAATCCAACGAAACAGAGACAGAATATTTAATCTTCCCTCAGAAGTACTTGTTGAATGGCTGAGTACAGGAAAAATCCTACTTATGAAATGTGTCTTCGTAGCGTAGATTATTATATGGAGGTTTTTCAAAATGTATTCTCCACCCTTACCAAAAGGGACACAAGAAAAAAATTTTAATTTAGGCACACATAGAATCATAGAATTAAAGAGTTTGATGAAAATCAAGACTTTCGACCCCATATGTCACGTATTTCAATGAGGGACGTACTTGAAATACGTGTTTCCCATTTCGAAAAAAATAAAGAATTAATCACTATCCAAGGTAATGGAGCGCCGAAGGCGCGCCCATAGTGTTACATGAAGCTAATCTCCGTCAAAACCTAAGACTCTCTATGAAAGCATGAATGATACGAAAAAGATATTGGCCTTTCCTACATTCATTTCCTATAAAGCATTCTGTCCTACAGACCGGTTTTTTTATTATTATTTTAGATCGAGGCGTTCCACCTCGTGGCGTGAAATAACGGGAAAAAAATAGAGGAATTGCTCCTTCGCGTATAATATTAATGAATCCTCAGGACATTGTCGATATGTTGCTATCACATATCGAACGACGAATGTTTCCGTGGTCTACAAAATCTCAAAACCCACTTCACTAGCATTTCCTTCTCTTATATGTACGTGATGTTCAGGAATACACAGTTTTCTTTTGCAAGTTGATAAATTAACTAATAAATTGACCCCGTGAGGTGCGAAATCAAGTGCAATGGACCTCATCAAATTTCCGAAAACAAATGATTTTTTCTACTTGCTTCCGCATCAATTTTGAATGCCAGAGAACCTTAGGTTACATGAGGAGACTAATAATTGCCATGAGGAAAATATTACAAGCAAAATGTGATTTCATACATGTGGAGGGCTTATATTCCGCAAATAATGAAATTGCTTGAAAATGTGTAACTTGTTATCAACAATGCGAAAAATAAGAATTAAACTTACTTCCTTAAACATAAAAAAAATCACATGAAAGCCCCAGAGGAATATTTCTTTTCCAGAAAGTGAAACTACATTAGGTTTCTTGCTGTTACTCACACATTCGGAAGTTGTAAAAAAAATGTTGATGTAATATCTTCAAAATCTCATCTTCATTCTCAAGAATTCATTTTCTTTAACGCCATTTCTGTGTATTTTTGTTTCCTTTTTCAGATTAGTTTCAAAACTTGTAATTCTTCGGAATCTCTAATCATCGTCTTAAGTAATTTGTTTATGCAAGGTATATCACCAATAAATTTAAACATAGCTAACGGCATACATCTCTCATAATGTGTAGCCATCTTCATATTTTCACACCATCTTATCTATTGAATAATTACAAACTAGGATTATCACAATTTACGGTATCATATAGAATTAACAGTAGCTACTATGTTCGCTGGTTCTTAAGTCCCCCTATGGAACCCCAATACCGCCAGAAAGCATGAATTGTTTTTTTTTTTAAATACATGTTGCTCCAAAAGTGGTGTCTGGTTAATTCCTCGACAGTCAATTCCCCGAGCCCGGTTTACCGATCTCACGGTCGCGGAAGGAGGGCTATCCACGGTATCCATCTCTTTCATGTCTTTGGTTCGATTTATAGTTCACGCTCTTGCTTGTCTCTATAGAGGTACATCATTCACGATGTTTGCGATCACCTTGTAATTTTCCAGGTTCTGGAGCATGATGATTTTGCCTTCGTCTACTGACAACCTGCTCCTCTTCAGTTGTAGCTCTGAAATTGCTGTTTACTTTGTATCTTCTATAAAGGCACTCCCAATACGTTCTTCGTCCGTCCTTGCTCATCTGTGTGAGCAGATAGCCCTCAAGAACAAGAAGATACTTGCCCTTTTCGCTCTTCACGAACTCCATGAATACACGAACTCTCACACTGTCCAAGAACTGGCCACTTAATGATCTAATTCTTAAGCCACCCAACTTCTCCATATATAGCTCCGTTAATGTTTTGATAGACATATTGTCGATCGTCTCATCTCTGGCGGCCGAGAGGATTATCTTACAATCGTTTCTGTCGCATTTTTCATCTTTTTCCCATTCCCGTGAGAATCTTTATCAATGATCTGACTAGCATTGTAGCATCGGCAGTCATGTTCCCTAAAGGAACAAAGTTTTCTTAGGTGGGAGGCGAAGAATTTAATCATTTCCTCCCCTCCAGGATTAGAGTAGATTAGCGACTTTCCCCCTTCCTTCTGTTTGCCTATACCACTCTCCCTTTGGTTCTGACTCGGTTGGGGGTAGGCCGCATCTCCCCCCCCCCCTCACTCCCCCATGCATGATGTGCGAGACAGGAAACTTGAATGGGAACAAATTCATTTCCTTTGGGGAAATCCCAAACGGGGAACTGACCCTCGGGGAAATAACCATTCAGGGAATTCACTGTCGGGGAATTCACTGTCGGGGAATTCACTGTCGGGGAATTGACCGTCGGGGAATTGACCGTCGGGGAATTGACCGAGAACCCCCAAAAGTCCCAAAAGTAAACTCGCGTCATTCAAGCATCGTTAGACGGATCTTCACAAAAATAAACATGTAAACGGGGAATATCATTAAATGTTACTTGTGAAACGATCAAATCATTTCATCAAATCTGCATTGATTAAAGCTCTCAATGTGCACGCTACCATTTTAAACGATCAGCTTCAGCCTCTCCCTGAAACAAAGCAAAAATTTCTAGAAAAAAAGCAGGAGTCTGGGGAGCGCAAGCTGCTTCGATGGCCTTCTGGAGTGAGTTCAGTTCCTTGTGCGACTTCCCTTTACACCAGCTGCTTTAAAAGCCCCACAAAGCGAAATTGCAGGGGCCAGGTCTGGGCGCCTTGGGGGCTAGGCGATCGGTCCGCAACTTTCAATCCAGCGCGGAAGAAAGCTCTCGTCCAGTCAAGTCCGCACCTCTTTGGATGAATTTTCTCTGAGCCGGTAACAAGACTCTCTAAACAGTCGTACCAGCAAACAGACTTAGCCTTTTCGGATGCAGAATACGATGCTTTTGATTTTTTTCCTCACTCACGCTACTTTAACTGTTGAAGGATTTACGTGAACTAAGATGAAAGGGCTTCGCCAGCAGGCATAAAAACTGCGATCTCAAAATCCTTACACTTTCAGGAATCTGCTAACAAAAAAAATCAGTTCCGCTTCAGCTGAGAATATTAAAACTTTCCACACTAAAATTCTGTCAAAATCTATATGCATGCCAATTTTTGTGGATTTTTATTGAACCATGCTTGAATGGCACGCGTTTACTTTTGGGACTTTAATTTTGAGACACCCTGCATAATGCATCTTCTTGACGTATAGGCATGGATGCATTTCAGAATGTAAATGCATGGAGCTCATGTTTCATTGAAATGTCACGGAATTCACAAGGATTCCTTACTCATGTCGTCACAAGATGGGATATCACAGTATTCCCATTGGATCGTGGTGTCATTTACCCAGCACCAGGGCTTATCTTTCGGCCCAGGATTTCGACAGTAATTCTTATGGTATCGCGGTTCGCGGGTCGCAAAGTAAAAATCGTAGATGCTATGATTTTCTGGTCCGATCAGTTTGTCCGAATGTGAATCCCAAGGTAGACAATCCTTCCCAGTCTTTGTTTTCTTCATTGTCCCAATGTATTCCGTTCCCATCTCCGTCAGAAGACAATGGGGATACTCGTCTCTTTTATTGCCTCCATCTGCAATGGCAAGTCGATTCATGGAGTTGAAAACTCGGTTAAGAAATGATTAGTAAAGATCATGTGTTTGTTACATGTAAGACTTCAGGGGGCTTCAGAAGACATTCGCCATTTACTGAAGGGACATCAAAGAAAGGTGTTCTTAGCAAATATGAGGTAATTATTTTGGAGAGACATATCAATGGTGGCCGTTGCCATAGTTGATATCTTTCAAACCAAGTGGGTAGGGAATGAGAAGTAAAGACTCACTCGTACTGATGGATTCCAGAAGCTCGTAGCAGTAGGGAATGTCGCAATATTCTCTCTTCCAAATAACATAAGGAACAGTTTTCACGTAGCAAAAAGGTTTTTTAGGGTAAACATTGAAGGCGGCTGGAAACAAAATCCAGCGACAAAAGTTGTGCCTGCTGTCCAAGGGATCAAGAAACAAAAGCATGTGCATGTCTAAACTAATCGTCGGATTAGATGGGTTCATCCATGGGACACAGGCATTCCCATTCTCAGAAACGTTCTTCTTCCCAATGTAATCCTCGCCCTTGAGCAACATGGAGCACTCCAGTGGATCTAGGGGGAACATTGTCACTTTAGATATTGTGCAATATTTGCTATCACTGGTCAAGAATCAAACCTTTATCGGAGAAAAGAGAAATCTGTTGTCCCGCAATGTCTTTTTCCCATGGCCACAAGTGACGTACTGCAACTTTTTCGACAAATGTCCCGTTACTAAGTTCGTAATTGCTTCTTTGTTGAAAATTCATTTTTGGAACAGTTGCAACAGTCCAGAGAAAGGTCACATCGTTCGTTTTCAAAGAGACAGTTACAACGTCCTTAATATAGACTGCAGAACATGAAAAAACGAGAATCCCTCTATTCGAGTTGTGGTCCCGCATCCGAAAACTCACTCAGGTCGTCGCAGAAGGGAACGTCACAATACTCCCATTCGATGGTAGGAGTCATTGATACAAAACACCACGGCCTCGACCCCCATCCCGGATTCCGACAGAAGTTCAACTGCGGGCGGGGGAGAGAACTTGTGAGGATGATGCGGATGAGATTCTTGTCTTCGGGACGGGTCGTCAAGGGCAAGTAATTGACCATCCCATATGGGTACTTCGAGAGATCCAAAAACCTTTCCCAATATAGGCATGGCTTCCCCGTTTCGCTTTTCCTGATCGTTCCCATATACTCTCTGCCCATTTTAGTTTTTCGGCACTCAGGGTAATTCGCCTTCATCTTTCGATTTCCATCTGCTGAACAAATATCATGCGTTAGTTTTCCCCCGTAAAGTTCGATACATTTAAAGAATGTTCGAACAGTTTGGAAAATCGCCGTCATATCAGTGTAACACAAACCTTTGTCGTTTCACCACATTGTATTTTATGGCGTGCACAATGACTTTTGCCATTTTAACACTAACTTGCCATGAACTGACAATGTTCAAAAATTTTGTCTTAATTTTCAAGTATCTAACAATAAAAAAAATAATTTCATTCCAGAAATATATATGTTTAGCTCAACTTGGACAGTCAGCCTGCTAGATTCCTGTCACATCAAAGGAATTAATAGGAGGGTGTGTGTGGCTTGTCTGACGACTTGGTTCGACATCTTCCAATTAAGGCATTTCACCTGTTCATTTCCGAGCACGTCCAGCTCGTATGAGTGTATATCTCAACGAAAACCAGAAACCAAAAGGATTAAAATAAAGACACCTTAAAAAGTACGTGTCCTGAGGGAATTAGCAAACTCCTTCCTTCGTTTATGCTAAAGCTTAGGTCAGGACTTTGGTATAGACATTTCCATGGAAAATGGCCATAAAACTCTCTGAAAATCATAATCACACATTACTGACTCTTTTTTGTTTCCTGTAGAGGACAAAACGGAACGTCGCAGTAACTCCAAGCCCCATCCCAATTGCTTCCATAGTAACACCAAGGACCTCCAGGACGACCCCCAGGATTTCTGCAATAATTGTGCTTCTTGTTCACCTCATCCGAGAATGCAGGGAGCCTCAGGGACCAACTCCGATATTGACCCGTCAGTGGATATTCCAACCAGGGCAAGCACGGTAAACCCATAAGAGTCACGTTGTTTATCCCCATATACTCCGCTCCCTTTTGAGTCCGTTTGCACTCCAAGGGAACTAGAAATAATATATACAGTATGTCAATCTTCCGGAACATTTCGGTAGATGAATTTGTTTGCCCCTCTCAAATCCGTCGCAAGCAACGCATCGAGAAATCCATAAATACGATTTTGCATCATGACCAGTTGCATCTTTAGACAAAGTGGCGTTCAGATCTTATCGATAGTTTTCGGGTGCCATTTGGAAATACTCTCTCCTAAATCGCTATTTTTTAAAGCTATTTCGAACTTTGGACCCAGATTACTCGGGAACGAATAGGAGATACTGCGATTTTTGTGCACCGATATTTAGAGACGACTGTCATGAATGACTCTACCCAATTATGTTCCAAAATATTCGTACATCTCTGATTTATAGTGATTTGACTGATGTCATGTCGGAGAATCCTGCGGGAAACTGTCACGTTTTCCCTTGAATGAATGAAAGTCAAATGATGAATTTAATTCATTTGGTACCTTCTAACAATTTTCAGAAATTTAAAAAAAATTAACATTTTCATGAAACTCTATCATAATAATAAATGTTTGAAATCAGGGGGAAATGATCTATTGGTATGTGTCCCTTGTTTACACCACCAAATTCCATTAAAACACCTGTGAGCTTTCGAAATCCACAAAAATCACAAATTTCACAAACAAGATACTTTTAAATTGCATGTTGCCATTTCATATGAAGTGCAACAATTTTGAAATTTTGTTAGGATTTCCGCCAATCAGATGAAAAAGATATAATTGTTGGAATTGGAATGTTGCAAGTTATGATAAATAAAATATCATTTAAAAAATATATAAGGATGTTGCAAGATGGTAAAGGGTGAATCAAAAAGACTTGACAAGAGATGTTACCCAAGTCCATGCACATGGAAATATCACAGTATTCCCATTTTATGTTTGGGTCCGAGACGAAGCACCAAGGCTTTTCCCTCAAGGCCGGATTCCTGCAGTAGTTCTCAGCAGATTCCACATCCTCGTTAAGGAAGTGCTCTTCATAGAGCATTGCGATGGAGAAGTCCTTCGGTTTCACGTAAGGCTTGGTATCCCATCGGAGACAGTCCTTTCCTGTCGCGGTCTTCTTCATTGTCCCAATGTATTCCTTTCCTTTCTCAGTCTTTCGACATTCGGGGTATTCTGGTGAGACAGCAGAAAAGAAAATCAGTAACACCTCTGAAGAAAAGCTCAATCTTGTCTGCGTGTGTTTTCCTTATCTCATTAAACATAACATTGACACATGTGTCGAATATCGCATTAGCGTGATCCATAGACAATGCCCATAGATATGACCATGAGTCCATCATCCCCTTCTGCTCATGTCTAAACAAGCTTCCAGCTTCAAGCTGGAAGCTTGATCAGTTTGTTTCCAAAAAGTGAAAGTGATTTTATTTATTTATATTTATATTTATATTAAGATTATATATATATATATATATATATATATATATAAATAAATCATTACACGGC